CCATCTGATGTTCACTCCCCAAGTGGCCGCAATGGTCAATGCTGCGCCAATCTGAAGCTAGGAGCCAGGAGCTTCTTCCAGGTCTCCCACGCGGGTGCAGGGTCCCAAGGCTTTGGGCCGTCCTCGACTGCTTTCCCAGGCCACAGGCAGGGAGTTGGGTGGGAAGTAGGGCAGCCAAGATTAGAACCAGTGCCCTTATGGGATCTCACGCATGCAAAGGGAGCACTTCAGCTGCTAGGCTACTGCACCGGGCCCAGATAAAAATTTTTTTAAACACCACAAATATGTAAGCTTCACAAAGTCTGATTGTGGTTGTTTTAAACAGCTCTTCACTGAACTTCACTTTTTCCTGCATGTTCTGTTCATCTTCCATGCAGCATCTTCCCCCTTTTCTGGAAGAACTTCCCGGAGCACTCCTGTTAACACTAGCCACCAGTCAAGAATTCTGTTGAGTTCTGTTTTTCTGAAAATGTCTTTATTTCACTTTCGCTTTGGAAGGGTATCTTGGCAGGGTGGGAAATTCTAGTGCAGTGGTGTTTTCTTTCAAGATGTAAACTTGTCATCGCATTGCCTTCTAACAAGAAATTGGTAGTCAGTCCTATTTTTCCAGCCCTCCCCCCCTTTTTTTTTGTGCCTTTGAAAATACTTGGGGTTTTAAAATTTTACTGTGATGTGTTTATTCCTGTTGATTCTGCTTCAAGTTTGCAGAATTTCTTGAACTTGGGGTTTGGTAGATTTGACAAACTTGGGGGTACATTTTCAGTTCTTATTTCTTCAAAAAGTGTTTCTTCCCTATCCTCCAGGGAAGAGAGACCACAAGAAGTCCCTGGCTCCTGGCTTCAGCCTGGTCCAGCGTGAGGCCATTGCAGCTTTTTGGGGAGTGAACCAACAGATGGAAAATCATTCAGTCTCTCTCTCTCTCTCTCTGTCTCTCTCTTTCTTATCCTCTATGTGACTCTGCCTTTGAAATAAATAAATATTTTTTAAAATAAAGCTTTTTTTTTTCCCAAAATAAAGATTCTGGGCCAGGGGCCATAGCCTAGTGGCAAAGGTCCTTGCCTTGCGTCCGCCAGGATCCTATACGGTTGCTGGTTTGTGTCCCAGCTGCTCCACTTCCCATCAGCTCCCTGCCTGTGGCCTGGGAAAGCAGTCAAGGACGGCCTTGGAACCCTGCACCCACATGGGAGACCTGGAGGAGATTCCTGGTTCCTGGCTCCTGGCTTTGGATCAGCGCAGCTCCAGCCGTTGTGGCAGTTTGGGGAATAAACCAGCTGACGAAAGATCTTCCTCTGTCTCTTCTTCTCACTGTATAGCTAACTTTCCAATAAAAATAAGTAATTTTTAAAAAGATTGATCGTAATCACTTTTGGACAAGTTGGTGATGACAGATTATGGTTGCATTTTGATTATTTTGTGTTTATTTGGTAAAAAGAAAGGAAAAGAGAAGAAAAGAAAAGGAAAGAAAATAAAAGAAAAGAAAAATACAAAAGAATCACCTCCAAATGTTCACTTCTGGAAATTTAGTAGTATTTGAGATTCAAAAGCCTGAGAACCCGGCTCTGCACCCTGGCCCACACCCACGGGTCCATTCTTCTCCAGCTGGTCTGACACTGTCCAGGCACAGAAGTTTCTTTGCATTTCCTCCTCCTGGTTCTTTTACACTCCGCTCTCACTGTCTAATTTCTTTTTTCATAATCATGTCTGTATGATAAAGAGTTTTATCCATCCCTTGACAAAGTTTTTAAATTTTGCTCATCTGACTCTTGTAGGCTGTTTGTCTCTCTAGATTTTGTAACAGTCAAAGAACCATGTGGGCAGGACCTGTGTTACCTGAATTTTAAACTTCTTTTTCAAAGCTTATTTATGTTTATCTGAAAGGCAGAATTGCATAGAGAGAAGCTGAGACAGAGAGAGAACATCTTCTGTCTGCTGGTTTACTGCCCAAGTGGCCACAACAGCTGCAGCTGAGACAATCTGAAGCCAGGCGCTTCTTGCCAGCATTTCCATGGGGGTGCAGGGTCCCAAGGCTTTGGACTGTCCTCCGCTGCTTTCTCAGGCCACAAACAGGGAACTGGCTCAGAAGTGGAGCAGCTGGGACACAAGCTGGTGCCCCAATGATATACTGGTACAAGCAAGTAAAGGATTAACCTGTGGAGCCACCACGCCAGCTCCTGAATTTTAAACTTCCTACCCACATAAGGTTATCAGAAGAGTCTGGAGCTGCAGACTCCTGGATACTGCCTTGTGAGCCCGCTTCTCGTGCCATGCCATCAAGCAAAAGAGGAGATGAGAATTTCAGTTTGCTAATTACAAAGTAGTTGAAACTTCAGGGACACCCTTGAAGAGGTTAATATCTGTCCCTTGCAACTGGAGGGCAGAGGACGCAACACCCACACTGTAATCCACATACAGGATGTGCAGGGACTGAGGGGTCAGCCACAGCAGCCCATGCAAGCCCAGCGGGTAAGATGCCACTCCCTGAACCGCAGCTATCTGCAGAGGAAGGCTTCCTGGGGACCAGAGGAGGGCCACAGGCAAGACAGACTCAGCGTGGGCTTGTCTGAGGAAGCTAACGGGGGTAGCCATTGAGGAGTCAGTGCACCTAAATGGGGAGAGCTGTCCACGAGTCTGGGGAAAGAGCAGTCTTTACATGCAAAGCATGGCAAACAGCACCAATCCAAGAGACCAGAGACCAGCACTCCCCCGGGCATTGGAGAGGGCAAAGACAGGGTTTCAGAAGGGAGATTCATACAAGCCGTCACCACAGGCAGGCAGCAGCCACTGCCAAACCAAGGAGCGCCAGCGTCCGTCTACTCAACACAATCAAGGAAGCTCAAGTGCAAGCTAGCTCCCCTGCCCAGGTGCACATCTCTCATCAGAAGCAGCCTGTACCTTCTGTAATAAGATCTTGTGATGTAATTCATTAATCAACCATCCATAAGAGGCTGATTGTTTATAATTACCTGAGATGGCCAATGTCCCTTTTATCACTGTTATTGGTACTGCCCATAAATAACAAAGATCTAATCCTCACCGTCCCTTCCTTAGGGCCCTGGGATACAAGAATGAACTCACAAGGAAGTGACAGAGAGTCTCCCACGTGCTTGGGAGACACCCCGGCAGCAGCATGATGGACTTGGGAAAATTCACGAAAGACACACATTGTGAGACTGGAAGGGAGAACAGAGGGGAGGGGAGGGAACTTGGGGGAGGGGAAGGGAGACCCCAGCGCCAACTAAACTGCATCAAAAAACAATAACAATAATTAAAAAAAAAAACCAATGATAATAAAAAAAAGCAGCAGCAGAGTCCAGTTAGGAAAGAGGAGACAGGGGCCTGACATTGTGGCATAGCAGGAGTAAACTGCTATCTGCAATGCCTGCATCCCGTGCTGGAGCAGCAGGGCAAACCCCGGCTGCTCCATTTCCAATCCGTCTCTCTGTTCATGACCCAGAAGCGGCAGCAGAGTCCTTGCCCCACACGCAAGGGAAACCAGAATGACTCATTGATCAGCCTGACTTGCGCTGGGCCCAGTCCCAGCTGCTGCAGCCATGCAGGGAACGACCCGCTGGATAGAAAAATTCTCTTTCTCACCGCCTCTCATTCTTTCTGTTGCTCTGCTTTTCAAATAAATAAATTCCTTTCTTTTTTTTTTTCTAGAAGGTAAAAATTTTTGGTGGGATTTTAAACTGTCACATAAAGAATCATCTCAAATTTTCCCAGGAGACATGATAAATATAGGCTTACTGCAAATTCATTTTATAAATAATCTTACATTATATTAAATTTTAAAAAGATTTATTTATTTTTCATTGGAAAATCAGATATACAGAGTGAAAAGACAGACAAGAAGATCTTCTGTCCGATGATTCACTCCCCAAGTGAACACAACGGTCGGAGCTGCGCCAATCCGAAGCCAGGAGCCTCTTCCAGGTCTCCCACACGGGTTCAGGATTCCAAGGCCCTGGGCCATTCCCGACTGCTTTCCCAGACCACAAGCAGTGAGCTGGATGGGAAGTGGGGCTGCTGGGATTAGAACCACCACCCATATGGGATCCTGGGTGCATTGAAAGTGAGGACTTCAGCCACTAGGCTACCACGCCTGGTCCATTATATTCAATTTTATTTGATACAATTAATCTAAGATAGGTCAACAGAATTTGCACTACCTTTTTAAAAAGATTTATCTATTTATTTATTCAAAAAACAGAGTGACAAAGAAATACACCAAGAGTGGTAGAGGATGGGGAGACAGAAATGTTTTCCATCCAATGGTTCATTCTCCAAGTGGCCACGAAAATCAAGTCTGGGTCAGGCTGAAACCAGAAGCCAGGAACTCCACCCAGGTCTCCTGTATGCAGCAGGATCCAAGCACTGGGCTCATTGTCTTCTGCCTTCTCAGGTGCATCACTAGTGAGTTGGAGCTAAAGGAGAGCATGCAGGACTCCAACCATTGCTCCAACACAGGATGGAGTCATTTCAAGTCAAGGCTTAATCCGCTTTACCAAGACCCCTGTTCCTTGCATTGCCTCCTTACTCATTAGAATTTTCCTAAGTGAATCAGTGGTAAGACCACAGTCACTCCAAGACAAGATCCAGCAGGCTTGACATCTGGCCCTGCCACTTGACAACTCCGTATCAGTGACTTTCTATGCCAGACTTTCCCTCCTCCTCAAAGTCAAAGTTTCTGGTATCTTTCTCCCACGAGCTGGCGACGAGATCCAGTCACACCATGGAGAAGGGGACAATCACTATTTAAAGGTGGTAATTTGAGGTGGATTACTGTTTAGACGTAGCAAGTGTTAAGCCACTATCCCAGCACAGAGAGACTTCAAAAAGTTTACCGAATATGATGAACTTTTTTTTAAATTCATGCCTATTTTTTTTTTTTTTTAGAATATGCACTTTCCATGAACTCTGTGAAGACCCTTGTCACACGTGCCCTTCCTGCCCGACTCTTCCCACGTGCAGGAGCCCAGGGCCATCGGGACACCACTGACCTGCCTGTCAAACACCGTCGCAGGGAGTACGAGGCCCCTCCTCCACAGGTCCGGGAGCAGTCACTCCAGTCGCCCCACGCGTCCCAGTTGCCATCTTTGTCTTCTTCCGAATGAGCGTTTCTTGAGGTCTAAATATGAAAAAACAAACAATGAGCTATGGATAAGTGTGGTGGCATGATGTGTGATGTTGTTTTCCGGTTGTGTCAAAGTCTTTTAGCTCTAAAGAGAGTCATCCTGAACGAGAAAATCCCATAGACGTGCTGTAAACACTGCACTGAGAGTTAACGACATGGCAGCGTACACTTCCGGATTTGTTAGAAGCAGTCATTGGTGTTGTGGCACAGCGTATTAAGCCGCTGCAGGAAGTGCTGCTGCCAACACCCTACATCAAAGCACTGATCTAGCTTCCTGCTAAGATTCCTAAAAGCACTAAATAATCTAAGAGTCTGGGCCCCTGATTCCCACGTGGGAGTTCCAAACAGAAATCCATGTTTAGCTTGGCCCTGATTTGGATGTTATGATCTTTTGAGAATTGAACCAGTGGGTGGATGAGCTCTCTGTCTCTCTCTGTCACTCCACCTTACAACTAAATAAATAAGTCACTTTTAAAATTTTTAAGAGTATATTTTATGTGTTTCTTTTCCCTCTAAGCTTTGAACAAACTGCTAATGAAGGGAAATTGCTTCAATCAAAAGGGAAGTATTTCCAGCAAGATCCGAAACCAGACCACTACATCCACTCTCACCACCGTTGTCCAGTGTACTGACAACACACTGAACAGAGCCATAAAACAAGAAAAAGAAACCAAATGGATATAACTTTGAAAACAGGAAGCAAATTATCCATTTGCATGACATGGTCCCATATCCAGGAACCAAAAGCCTTTGAATAAACCTACCCAAGGATGTGAAGGATCACTACAATGAAAATGACTAAATATCAATAAAAGATATAGACTGTGCCAAGAAATGGAAAAAAGCTTGCATATTCACAGACGGGAAGAACTAACAAAATGAAAATATCCATACTGCCCAAAGCGATTTACAAATTGAATGTAATCCCAATCAAAGTTACAAGAACATCCATCTTCTTATTTTTCAGGAACAAGAAGAGATCCTAAAACTCATATGAAAACACAAGAGATCCCCAAATACCTAATGCAGTTTTAACAATAAAACGTAGAAGCATCAAAAAGCAGATCTCAAGATACACCACAGGGTAGTTACAACAGGCTGATATGTGTACAAAAATTGACATATGGGCCAATGTAAAAGAATAGGAATCCTAGAAACTAAACCATTCATCTAGAAACAATTAATCCTTGACAAAAGTGCTAAATTCACTCCCTGGAGAAAGGACCATCTCCTTAACAAATGGCATTGGGAAAACTGGGTCTCCTCATGGCAGAAGTATGAAACAAGAGCCCTACCTTATACCTCATACAAAAATCAACCAAAAATAGATCAAGGGTCTAAATCCAGACTCTGACAACATCTAATTACGAAAAGGAAAAACATGGGAAATGCTGCAAAACTGGCAGAGACTTCTTGGGAAAGACCCCAGAAGCACAGGAAATAAAAGCAAACGTGGACAAATGGAATTATACCCAGCTACAAAGTTTCTGCACAACAAAGGGGGAACACTCAACAAAGTGAAGAGAAACCCAAAAGACTGGGAGAAGATCATTGCAAACTGTGCATCCGACGAAGGATTAAAACCCAATGCATATAAGAAGTTCAAGAAAGGCACCAAATAAAAGCAAACAACCCAGTTAAGAAATGGGCAAACTAAATAGTCAACAGATGCATGGAAAGATGTTCAGGATCATCTAACCACCAGGAAAATGCAGATAAAAATCACAGTGAGGTTTCCCTTCTCCCCAGTTAGAATGCCTGTCATTCCAAAATCCAAACAAAGCAAATGCTGGTGAAAACACAGAGGACAAGGTAGCCGAACACACCATGCATGGGAGTCTAAACTGGCACACTATATAGATTCCTCAAAATCTGGAAACACATCTATCACATAACCCAGCCATCCCACTCTTGGAATTGACATAAAGGAAATCAAATCAGCATGTGAAAGAGGTAGCTGTACTCCCATGTTTACAGCAGCTCAGCTGACATAGCTAAGACCCAACCTAGGTGTCCATCAACTGAGGCCTGGATTAAGAAAATATGATTTATATACAAGAGGCAATACAAAAGCCTCACACACACACACACACACACAAAGTGATATCAGGCCCCTCGTGATAACCTACTGGTTAAATCCTTGCCTTACCCACTCCGGGATCCCATATGGGTGCCAGTTCATTTCCTGACTGTTCCATTTTCCATCTAGCTCCCTGCTTGTGGCCTGGGAGGGACCCTGCACCTGCGTGCGAGACCCGAAAGACACTCCTGGCTCCTGGCTTCTGGTTGGCTCAGCTCTGGCTGTTGCAGCCACTTGGAGAGTGAACCAGCAGATGGGAAGATCTTTGTCTGCATCTCCTTCTCTCTGTATGGCTGCCTTTCTAATAAAAAATATAATAAATCTTAAGGAAAAAGAGAAGTGAAACCGTGCCTTTTGCAACAAAATGGATGCAACTAAAGACCATTAAGATTAGCGAAATAAGCCAGATCCCAAAATAAAAAATACCTTAAGTTTTCTCTCATTTGTGGTAGTTCCTATATAAAAACAAAACGAAACACCCTAAATATGTAAAAGTGAAACTGACATTACGTGACTTGATTATCAGTTATAGGCCTTGCCTACATTACTATTTGCTGAACACTATTTCTAGCAGAGTATTAAGCCTGTGAATATAAACTGAAAATTTGCCATAACAAACTTTTTTTAAAGGAAAAAGGAGGAAGGAAGGTAGTCTTCCTTGTGTTTGTAGAATTCCATCTTCTTTCATATTTTTTATTTATATAATGTAAAAATCGTACACAGATTTAATATTTTTCCACTCCCCTACCTGCCATCCATGCTCCCATGTTCTGTTATTCCTCCATTGTTTTTTTTCTTTCAAGTTTTATAATGACATACTTTCAGTTTGTTTTATTTTTTAAAGATTTATTTACTTCTATTGGAAAGGCAGATCAGATTTATGGAGAGGACAGAGAGAAAGATCTTCCATCTGTTTGCTCACTCCCAAATGGCCAGAATGACCATAGCTGAGCCAATCCAAAGCCTAGAACCAGGAGATTCTTCCAGGTCTCCTACGTGGGTGCAGCGTCCCAAGGTTTTGGATTTTCTCTACTGCTTTCCCAGGACACAGGCAGGGAGTTGGATGGGAAGTGGAGCAGTCGGGACACAAACCAGTGCCCATATGGGATCCATGCACAAGCAAGGTGAGGATTTAACCACTGAGCCATTTCACTGGGCCCTCAGTTCATCTTATAATCACAAGCTTAATCCTTCAATAAATAAGAAATTCAACAAGAAGCAACTTAGAAATTCATGCAATCTATTCTCTTTATATTAAGAAAAATATCTTTTAAAAAGATATTGAATTGTCATTATGATAAGCAATCAGATGTTTGAAAGAAAAATTTAAGACAAAACAAGATTACTTAAAAGCTATTAGAATTCATATGAGAGTTTAGCAAAATTGCAGGAAATATAATCAACACACACTCACACACACACTATCAATAGTATTTGTCTACACAAACAATGTGATAGTAGAGAGAACTTTTAAGATCAGTCCCAATCAAAATCACCACAAAAAAAAAACCCTTGGCATAAATTTAATCAAAAACATGAAAGATTATAAAATTATGAAATATTAAGGAGAGAAATAGAACAAGGTACCAAGAAATGGAAAAATTCTCCATGTTCATGGGTAGAAAGAATTAATAGCATTAGAATGTTCATAATACGTAGAGCAATTTAGATTCAATGTCCTCCCAATCAATATGCCAAGAACATTCTTTTCAGTTCTAAAAAAAAAAAATGATCCTAGAATTTATATGGCTATAGCAGACTCCCTCCCTCCCCCAAACATAATTAGATGTTGTCAATCATGATCAGTGAAAACAAAGCCGGAGGCATCACAATAACAGATCTCAAGACCTACTGCCAGGCCTGGCACAAAAACAGATTTGTGGACCAAAGGAACAAATCAGAAACCCCAGAAATTAATCCATATATCTATAAACAATAATTTTTGATAAATGAGCTAAAATCGCTCCCTAGAGAAAGGACAGTCTCTTCAACAAACAGTGTTGGGAAAACTGAATCTAAATGCAGAAGCCTGAAACAATCCTACCTCTTAATCCTATACAAAAACCAATTCACCTATCATATGACCAACTCCAAGTGAACCAAGGATATTATCAAGGATCTAAATACCTCAAATCACTAAAAGGGAAACACATAAGATATCTGCATGGGAAAAAAAAAAACATCTTAGAAAAGAATCCAGATGCACAGGCAACAAGCAGAAGTGGGTCAGTGGCATTCCATCAGATGAAGTCAACCATCCACAAAGTGAGGAGACAACCAACAGAATGGGGGAAATACTAGCAAACTGTGCCATCTGAAAAAGGATTAATATCGACAACCTAAGAACCTCAAGAAATTCAACATTCAGTTAAGAAATGAGGAAAGGCAGTGCTAGACGTTTTCCAAAGAAGAGAATACAAATGGCCAAGCAGCCATCAGGAAAACACAAGTAGGAACAACAATGAGATCTCACCTCATCCCAAATACAACATGTATCTGTTAACTGTTAAAACACGATCACAACACATGCTGGCAAGGATATAGAGGAAAAGGTACCCGACCACACTGTCCGTAGAAATATAAACTGGCACACCACCACCACAGAAAACAGTATACAGAGTCCTCAGAACATTAAAAACAGATCTGCCATACAACCCAGCCATCCCCACCACTAAGAAATTATCCTGGGAAAATGAACTCAGTATATAAAAGTTATCTTTATCCTGTGATCAAAGCAGATCAGTTCACAATTGCTAAGACAGTGAACCAACCTAGAGGTCCACCAACTAATGACTTGGATAAAGAAAATGTGGTATATTTACACTATGGAATATCAGTCAGGCATAAAAAGAGTAAGGTCTTGTCTTCTGGAAAAAAAAAGGATGCAATTGGAACTAGTTGGATTTGGCTTATT